ATCTCAGCGACAACGTTATCGGGGGAGAAGTTGAGACCACCAAGGCCAGCGGTAACAGAGTGGGTAACACCGGTTAATGAGACGGTGGTAGAGGGTGTTGCGCGAATAGTTTGGGTTGGAGCAGCGGATACCAGGCCAGAGGCGAGGAGGGTGGCAGCGAAGATCTTGGTGAAAGACATTGTAAATGTTGTGAGTGACGGATGTAGTGATTAAAAGATGGAGAAAAGCGAAACTCGCAAATTATTGATTAATTGGAAGATTGAAGGAAGAGTGAAAAAAGTTGAGAAATGGCTATTTGATGATGTTGAAGCTGAAGCTGATGATGAATAAAGTTGTACATCGCGCAACCTCAAGGCCTTATATATTCATCGTTGCACACATCTCATGTGAAGCCTCTCGACGGACTGAAAATAGGTTTGCTGCGCATCGCGACCGCGCCCCCGGATGTTCCTGCTCCCGAGAGATGCGGCGGCCGATCAGACAGCGCCAATCTGACTTAGATTGATTGAACGGCCCCCAAAGTTTGGGGAGTTACTAGTAGGATTAGAGGTGTGGCTAACCTTGAGGTGGCATAGTCTCCTCCATCGCCCAGTTACCAAGATAGAACAGCCGGCAGTCGCTAACAAATCTGTCAGCGAGAAGCCTGGGCACAGCCACCAGCGCCGCTTCCTAACTTGTGGCTCACCACACCACCAGCTGCTGCGGATGGCTTTGCCCTTCCTAGCACTGTCTAAAAATAGGTAAGGTAGTCCAGCTATTCTCGAAAGAAGATATTCAAGCAAAACTTGATTGCATGCAAGGTGAGCGGTGAAGCCTCTACGCTAGGGAATGACCCTCACTACTCCGGATATAATAATGCACGAGATGATTGATTCCGCAACCCCGCTCGGAGTGTTTTCTTTGAGTCATATGTACGTACTTTTCGGCGTAGATCCACGTCTCAATCAAGTAAGCGAATCCGCGATCGCGAAAATGGCGTTTCTCTTACAACCCTTGTGGGGAGGTAGAAATTGCTGTGCGGCGGCCATCTCAGTATCACCAACTGCCTCATATCTGGCCCAAAGAGGAAACAGACGAGAGTGGCTAACCAGCAAACTTCGTCATCTCAAGTTGTAGCATACTGTGTTTTTTTTAAAGAATTTTCTTATTACGAGACTTTTTATTTTATAATATAGAAGTCAAAAGGTTTGGACGACTTCACCTCACTGCCCTATTAAATACCAGTCTGGTGAATAGCAGCCATGGTTTTGAAATGCGTGCATTGAGTCTTAAAGTGCCCCCATGGGGAAAGCGACATGTTCTTCATGTGAATACGTATGTCAGTTTGCCCCTTGCGCTCCAGCTCCAGCTCCAGCAACGTACTGCCAGCTACTCTTCTAATGTGAACGTTGTCGAATGAACCTCTCAAGTGCAGGCAAAGCTTCCTTGAGCACATCTGGGGTGCCAAGAGTAACCCGAAAGTAACCTTTGAAATCACCATCGTCCTTTTCTCCAAAGCAGTGCCCCCCTGGAACAACACAAATACCTTCCTTCTCTGCCAAGGATTTACAGAAAGCAAAATCGTCGACTGGCTTGCCGTCTGCATCGAGAACTTTGATGAATGCCGTTCCCGACCCTGCGGGTGTCATCCCAGTGACATATCCCTGATTTGCCGCCACGAAATCCTCAAGTAGTGCTCGGCTCTCCTTGCAAAGTGAAATATTACGATGCATGAGGTTGGGAAACACAGATGGATCCAGGGCGAATGAAGCGACACTGTCATCCAATTGCGACACAGTGACTGTGGTCAAGTCTCGCTTGGTAGCTATACTCTTCAGCAACTCATCATTCTCCGTTACTATCCATCCCACTCGGATGCCAGGAAGAGAAAATGCTTTGGACATTGAGCCCGTAACGACAGCTTTCGTGTAGCCAAGCGAAACAAGGGATGGGGGCTTGGGGTCGTCAAAGAACATGGGAGAAAAGACCTCATCACAGAAGACAACGAGATTAGATTTGCGGGCGATGCTGATGACTTTCTCAAGGAAATCTCTGCCTAGAACTGCGCCTGTCGGATTGTTCGGGTTACTATCATTATTGTTAGTGATTCGGGCATACTGTGCTGCTCTGGGTAGTAGTTCAATACTTGAGGATTATTGCCTTGGTGTTCGGCCTGATCAAAGATGAGAGCTCTTCGATCTTCAATTGCCATTCATTGTCCTCGTCCATCTTCCAAAGTTCAATGTCAACGCCGTTGTACTTTGGGACGAGATATAGCTGGCCAAATGTAGGATACTGGCAAATTACATGATCCCCTGGGCCACATATGGTGTCCAGGAGCAAGAAATTTGCCATAATTGACCCTGGCGTGAGGAGAACATTATCGGCGGTAAGTTGCTTCTCATTGGAGGAATGTAACTTGGCGATCTGTTCGCGAAGCTTCACCGAACCGCGTGAAACTCCATATGTCAGTTTGAGATTAGAATCAATTACTTCTAGATCAGGGTTTGCTGAAAGACTCTTCAAGTCCTGTACTGAAAGAGCAGAGGTGAAGGATCCTGTAGACATAATTAGTCTCTCAGCCCTATGTTTCCGGCGTGAAGATCTTACCCGCAAGTCCATATTTACTCGACGGCTCAACTCAAAGTTAGCAAAACCGTGGTGCTTCGAGGAGAAGGCTTGGACATACACCATGAGATCGAACTGCTCGGGCGTTAGTATCTGCATCAGCTTAGAAAAGGAAGAGCTTTCGTTCCAGGGGGACGCACTCCATTCATCAATTTTAAACTCTTGGACGTTTCTCATCTTGAGATTGATTTTGACCAACTTGGTATCTTTGTTTCTTTGTGTTGGAAATAAATCTGGAAAGTAATATTTTCATTTCAGAACCTCTGTATTATTGTAAAATTATAACCCGAGAATGTCGGTTAGAGGCGGCACCCGTCCTCGGATGAGTCAGATAGCATGCGTGACCGCCCCTATGAGTCTGCTCCAAAAGACTCTATTCCAAGAGTTCACTCCAAGAGTTAACTCCGACGATGCCGAAAACGGCGAGAATCACAACCACGCCGATTGGATTATTTCCGGTTCCTAGTATCTCTCATCCTCTGATGCAACGTTGTCAGGTCGTCAGCCAATGATCAGCGTGATCTGCAACAACTTGTTTGACTACCTCCTGTTGACTCGCTTATAAATCCAACCACGCCCTTTGTGGGCCGATAATCGGCCGCTGTGTCATTTGTGCTAAGTGTGTTCGGATAAAGTTTCGATTGATCTACAGCAACCGACTTTTCTACATAATTAGACATGTTCAGATATTCCGGAACTAGATTGCTTTTGCCACGTCGCCAAGTCATCTCACGATTCAGAATGTCCGCTAGTACAGGGCGTAAAGTAGAGCAGGTCTCGACAACCGCTGCCCCCGCGGCTATACCGCAGCTTTCTCAGGCTATTAAATTCAATGGATTGATTTTCTGCTCTGGAAATGTTGGAGCTATTCCCGGCCCGAGTCTGCAGCTCGTCGAGGGCACCGTCAAGGATCGTACGGTAAGCTGCTATTATCCCGGCACTTAGCTTGAATATATTTACTTGATTAAGAAATATTTCTCTAACTTTGGCTCAGAGGCAAACGTTGAAGAACCTCAGTGCTGTGCTTGAAGCCGGCGGTAGCAGCCTGAGCAATGTTCTGAAGGTGAACATCTTCATCACCGACATGGCAAACTTCTCATCGGTCAACGAGGTGTACGATGAGTTCTTCACCTCGTCTCCGAAGCCTGTATGTTGATTTTCTCAAGTGATGCTTGATAGTTGGCGCCATCTACTGACAAAGATATCTCGCAGGCACGGACATGTGTAGCTGTTCACCAATTGCCATTGGGCACTGATGTCGAGATTGAATGTACTGCATATGTTAACTAAATAAGCCTCATGTGGATGCCTCATATGGGAACTCCAATTGAGACTTTAAGCAGTAATTTAAGGCAATTCGATCTTTGAGTCATCCATTGTTGAATGAAGCCCCCGATACCTCCACAATGATTGTCAATCGTGTATTCGATTTTGGGTTCATATCACCCGTTTGGCTTAGGGATGAAAGGGTCAAATCAACATCCCATCCCTTCTTATGGGTCTTAGGCAACTCTTTACCTATGGTAATGGTTGCCTAATTATCCCAAGGGACGCCGGCTGTACAGCCCTGGCTACTGAGCCTAGTGACTTTCACCGTGATTGCTCTATACCACGTGTAGATCAAACCGTGCATGTGTATATAAGATAGTCACCAGATAGTACGCAATTCTAGGCTTGCGACGACTATGGGGAGTATATGAGGGATTTATTAGCCGTTTGGACATCCCGTTGAGCATGCGATTATAGTTCGATATTTGGTCTGCCTAGCAATACTTATATCTACCTAGGCTGTCAAGAGGGGCTGGGAGTCAGCGTGCCGGATCTGCCGGACTTAACGGGGCGAAGGCTCATTTAATGGGTGATCAGAATGGAATCATCGACAGACTGACCCAAGCCACACCTGAAGAGTACGTGTTCAATCGCACAGAATATGCCCAGGCGGTGGTAAATATCCCTACTGGTTGAATCAGTCAGTGGCTTGTAGAAGTATCTCCAATGGTCCTCTAGGCTCTAAAGGCCTTGGTGACGTGTGCTGATCAAAGAAAGGCATGGACTCAGCCAGATATTGTGGGTAATTTCCAGAAGGCAGAGTTAAACGGCCTGAAGTCGTCAGCATGGGGCCCGCTGCGCCCCTACACATGGGCAAAGCTATGGCTAACACGGCATTGATTGAACCGTCCCATCCATCCGTATGGAAAGAGTGGCAGGGTGAGCCCTTCACATCGTGAGTGGCGAATAGAATAAATATGAACTATTTCCCTACCTACGCTTTTCCAAGTTGCTACTCTCCTGTTTATACCACACAACTAACAAGGCCACCCGTTTTTCCACACCGCAAAACCATCAGCTATATATATTCACACTCACTCGACACCAAATACACCAGTGTCGTCATGTCGAACCAGGGATATTACGGGCACACCTACACTCAGGTCCAGCCCCAGAGGGTGGGGAATACTCTCAGTTTAAATGTATCTCGTTCTTGTTCACATCCGCTAACACCTACGCTTTCCAGACTCCATACTCTCCTCTGGGAAACAGCCCCTACAGCCATGGCCAGGGTGGATATATTCCTCCATACCACCAACAAGCCGACTACTACCGTGCTCCAGCTCCCGGATTTTATCAGGGTCAGAATGAAATGGTCGGAGCTGAAGGCGAACGAGGTCTCGGTGCTACCGTCGTCGGCGGTGATGCTGCCGGCTGGGCTGCCCACAAGGCAGGCTCCGGTATGCTCGGCAGCCTTGCCAGCGCTGCTGCTGGCGCAATAGGCGCTAATTTTATCGAGAACAAGCTGAAGAAGTGAGTCTTTTTATGTTTTCTGTCCAGCAGATTGGGCAAGAATATTTAGTTGACGTCCCCCATCTAGGCACCGCAACAAGAAGCACGACAAACACTAGCGAACCTCGCATTTGGTTACGCCGTATTTATTTTACTTGTTTTTTTTCTCTCTCTTTCTGTTCGGTTACATTAATGACACTGCGAGGCGTTGGTCAGGGTGCGGGCATAGCATATTTCACATTTTGATGATTGACCAACTTCAGTCTCTACCATTATTAGGTGGTTCACATACTCAACAAAGGAATCAACACTAGAACACCTAGTTTTCCTCCATGATATCCAAATACTCTTAACAATAAATTCATCACATCTGTTGATTTCTACACATTTGCCCACCTGGAGTCAAAGAGGCGCACATCAGAGTTGTCGTTGCCACCGTGACTTATGTGAAATGATACGCAAAATCAACGTATGCATGTATTTATTCGAAGAATGAAAATGAGATATTGAATTTAGTCTTTTAAGCAAGAAAACTGCCATTTGTTTTCTGGACAATGGCATTGTACTCGGGTAGAAACTGCATATACATACAGGCTGGGGACCCAGAGCATTTCTTCGTGTAAGCTGCCTCCTCGTCACCAACATATTTCTTCGGAATTCCGTTTGCTGCTGCGGCTTCGACCAAGAGCTGTGCTTGACAAGCCCTCTCGAGAGCTACAAAGAAAGCAGCTGCCTCTCCTATAGTTTCTCCACATGTAAGAAGACTGCCAAAGTCATTTAGTTAGATCAGCATCCTAGATTCAAGAAGGTTTGAATTTCAACCATACCCGTGATTCTGAAGGATAGCATTTTTCTTCACAGGGCCAAGTGCATTGGCAATATGTTGGCCTTCTTCCTTGGCTAGAACAATTCCTCCAAACCCTTCGTAAACGGCGAGGTCATTATAAAACATGCATGAGTCTGAGATGATTAGTTCCCATTCTCTGCATCGTGTTTATTACATCAAGTCCTCGGTACCTTGATTAAGCATTTCAACAGGTCTGCCAAAAGTAGACCAGGCGCGGCCATAAGGTGAGTGCAGGTGGCACGCAGCATTGATATCCGGCCGTGCTTTGTGAATGCTAGAGTGAATGATAAAGCCAGCAGCGTTGACTTTGTGCGGACTTGGTTCAACCGGTCTGCCTTCCTCATCTACTAGGACTAGATCACTTGCTTTGATTGTAGAGAAGTGCATGGCATATGGATCTGCCATGTCGCTTGTTATTACATATCCATATCGATCATCATGCGGGTACGACTTACTGAGCCAGAAACAGTCTGGCCGTACAGGATCTGATATATAGTTTTAGTACCTTCTCAGCTTGAACTTGTTCATTGTTCACCCACCTCGAAGGCTGATGTGTCCGGACGCACCATCGGCCCAACCCAGCTTGGCAAAAATCCGAAAGGCACCAGCCATCTGTTGCTTGGCCCATGTGCGCTCTTCATACTTGTCGGTGAATGTGGGAACCTCATGTAAGCGAATTGGAGCGTCCCCATCCACAATCGTGTTCAGAGCATTTCCTGCTTCCTTGTGTCTGGGGGCCTCGACGCCTATTTGGAGCGGGGTTACTTGAGATGTTGTCGTGGTAGACATGTTAGTAATGGAAGGGGCTTGATTCGGAAGAGTGTCTTAGTAGGAGAAGTTAGTAGGGTTCTTATTGGAATAGGTACCAGCCCTCATACGCACCTGGGGTAGTAATTTAGGCACAAAAAACAGCGAGATGTGAGAAGGTATGTTGTTGGAGTCCAGTGTTGGAACGGAGATGACATGATATGCATTTCCGATGATTCAATCGGCTGGTGCCGCAATCGGCCACGGGATCGGCACGGAAAAGGGTCCGCATTGACATTGACGTCCACGAAAGCGAAAGAAGACGGAGATAAACGATAATGCATGAGACAAGATACTCGTTGACCAGTACCTCCTGATTCGAATAATTTCATTTTGGCATCACACAAATCCCACCTGGCACTTATTATTATTTTGAATGCGACACTTTGCCAACGCACATTATATACTGATCTTTCCGTGCGTTTACCATATTTCGACCCTCCTATACCCGATGAAGGTCGTTTCTATATTGGCAGGCATGCCCGAATCGAATCAATTCTAGCAAACTAACACCTTAGAAGACTCCTTGGGGTTGTGACAACAAATCATCTCGATGAGATACGTCGTTTCTTCCCAAACAAAGTAATGGTGGTTTTGTAGGGGATGGTAACGACACTGAGTGGGAGACTATTCTGCCTTTAGATAGGCAATTAGTTAACTTTCAAATAATTATTACTGGCATTTTAGGTCGAGGTCAATGGCTGACGTTAACATACTTGAAGCTCGTGATGCGAAAACTTACTGAACTACGTTTAGAGAATGTTCAGAATTTCAGAATAGAAATCTCATATCATATATCTGGACTAAACATATGAACCCGAACGCAACCGCTTCACCAACTTGGAGAATATCTGTCGCAATGAGAACGACTTCTTCTCGACATTCGGCTTTTGTGGTTCCACTGAAGAAAATTTCTGGTAGTCCGTATATCCTATCGCAGGGTCTTCAAACGGACCATAAAACCTCGATCGGTCGTATGGGGCAAGTGGCCATCCGTTGCGCAGCCTGTCCACCAAGTCTGGATTGCTGATGAAAAAACGACCATACGCCAAAGCGTCATATTTACCACTCTCCAACACACCCCAAGAGTTGGTATCATTCCACCCACCCGCGGAAAAGAATGGTGTGTCACCAAAGATGTCACGAAAGGTGGAAAGATCAACCGTTGCAACACCCCAAGATGCAAGGAACTCGTCTTTCTCCTCGAGAGAGAAAATTTGCTCAAAGCGCGGCTCGATGAAACTGACATACGACAAGTGAGGAAGGCGAGCCTTTAGCTCACGGCACAAGTAGCTCCATGTCTCGACACGCTCGCTGCCGCGGGACTGGTTGAAAAGACCGAACGGAGACAGGCGAATGGCGAGATTCTCCTGCCCAACCGTCTCTGCGAGGGCTTCCATCAATTCCAGGGGGAATCTACATCGCTTTTCTACCGTTCCGCCATAGTCATCTGTTCGTTTGTTGGCGTTGGTGGAGAGAAATTGTTCGGGCAGATAGCCATTTGCTGCGTGAACTTCAACGCCATCGAACCCAGCGTCCATCGCCCTCTGAGCGGCATCGCAATAGTCCTTGATCGTTCGTTGGATGTGCTCCACAGTCAGCTCGATCGGCGGGTTCTCGGACAATTTGACCTTGGTCGTGCTGTGTGGCGGCGGATACGAGAAGCACTCCTCTGGATCGTCCCAAGCCACTGCGAAAGGGGCCACGATGGGGGTCCCCGTGAGCTGCGGGATGTTGGCACGGCCCGAGTGCCATAGCTGGGCGTAGATGTAGCCGCCCCGGGAGTGTACGGCATCGACGATTCGCTTCCATCCCTCAGCTTGTTCGGGCAGGAAGATCCCAGGGACGCCGGGCATGGCATTTCCCTGGAAAGGAAAGTATTAGTGACGATTCTATGCTCCTTTCTTTTGTTGCAAGTGTTGTCACGGAAATGGAAGAAAAAGAAAGCATATGATCGACGAATGAGCGCTCACCTCAAGCGAGGGGGGTAGACCCTCGGAAATGATGAGTCCACCATCGCTTGCGCGCTGCGTGTAGTACTCTACCATTAGGTCATTGGGAACCCAGACGCGGTTTGGGTCTTCGGGGGTGGATTTAGGATTCAGTGGCGTTCCTCGATTTCTTGTCAAAGGCGCAAAGATGACTCGATGCTTGAGAATGATGTTTCCATTAGCGATCCTCAGGGGCTCAAAGAGCTTGGACTCGACTCTGATTGGAATAGACTGGCTCATGGCGGCTGCAGTGGACCCGGATGCGTCTTGGGTAGACTCTACTGCGGCTACAAATGCACGGCTGATTTGTAAATGGGGAGTGGGACTTGTCTGTACGTCTAAGAGGCAAGGAAAAGAAACGAAGATGGATCTGCCAATTCAGCTGCTAGTGTACGTATGCATATATTACAGGTACTTTGAGCCGTCGAGGAAGAGTAGAAACACCACATAAGTCAAAATCGTGAGCACCGGCTTCTTTATAAAGCATTCTCGGGAAGGTCTCCTTCTAAAGCGGGCCATCATCCTATACATAGGTTCTTAACTGGATGAGAAACCGGGGCACATATAGGACTGTACGGTTATGGAGGAGAAATGGAGATATAAAGATCAGATCATGTTATAATACCAGGTCTCCATCCCGGGCCGGGCATCGAGCCAACTGTCGGCAATGATTCCCTGTCCGTCTGGTAGAAGGGTGGAGGATCTGAGAAGTTGGGGTTGCAAGTAATACCTCCCAACGACTACTTCCCCCTGCTTCCATTACACGCAACCCTGGAATTTGACAGGGAACTTTCGTTGTTGGTACGAGAGGCTGACAGAAGATGATGATGGTGGGTTTGGTGCTACACACGCTGCTGCAGCTAGTAACCTTGACAGTTAACGTCGTGTGCGGAATATTGTCTCATGCATGCATCATATGAGACCCACACGCCAATCAGGTCCTGAATGGTCGATGTCAATTGACATTGCCACTAATGTCGCATCATGTTGCTGTCAGTCAACCCCATAGCCGGTTGTGGTTGGTCATCAAGTTGTATTGGAGTGGCTATTATCATATAGTTTTGCTTTTTTGAGTGACCCGTTTTGCATCTGCAGGCTCCAACATAGACTCCAACTTCAAGAGTAGAGACCAACCAGCAGAAGATATAAGACGCTGCATAAACCAGGAGACGCACGAGGAAAAACAGCTATGGTTGCATGACACCTGTGGGCCTTTCACAATGACAGTTTTGGAAACTCCCCGACTTGGCCTTTTGAAATGAAAATCTCCATGAGCTGGACATGCATTTTCTTTCCAGTTTTCCTTTTTCCTGGGGAAAAATCATACGAGGGTGCCAAATACGATGCTGGCTGGGTTTGATGCACGCCGGGAAGATCCCGCTACCGCCATCAGGGAGGCGATCACTTGTCTGCAAGCCACCAAACAATTATTAAGGCAGTCTCTATTCCATTGATCCAATGATTTGTGTCTTCATCATAGCTCGTTACCTGGAAGTTTCAAGTCTTCGCCGTTGCCACTAAGTGAGTGACGATGAGCTTCCCTGGTGCCGGCGCACCTCCACACGGCGTTGAGCCAGACCTAGAAAACCCCGAAGACGTTCTTTGGACATGCAACTTCGTGACCCAGGGACTCACCATGTTTTTTGTCACTATTTTTGCTCTTGTTCGACTGTACGCCAAACACAAGCTGTTTGGCGGCAAGTTTACTTGGGATGACTGTATGTGTGGCCTTCACTGAGCGCTGGCTAATCGGAGTTAACTGACATATTGATTTTGCAGACACTACATGCTTTGCCTACGTACGACTCCCTAAAGAAATCAATTTAATTATTAAGATTGACTGAGAAGCAGATTCTTTTGGTTGGCTACTGTGTCACAGCGTGTCTCGGTAAGTTCCCGGACCCCATCCGGCCCCTGCATAGCGATCATTATACTGAGTTTCTATTATGCTAGCCGGGGTATATGGCGCAGGTCATAACCAGTGGGAGGTGAGGAAGGAGGAAATAGAGAATTTCTACAAAGTGAGATGAATTTGGCGCTTCTCAGCCCCAACTTGCACCTATTTGACATCAACTAACCCCCTGAATCGACGATGTAGGCAGGATATGCAGCCACCATATTCTATGCGCCCATGACTCTTTGCGTCAAACTTTCACTTCTACTACTCATTGCCCGCGTCTTCGGCAGCGTTCATAAGAAGACGATGTGGGGAATCCGCATTCTCATTGGGGGGATCATGGCCGTGCTACTACGTCTCGGGTGTGTTCATCAAGATCTTCATATGCTGGCCTATCAGTGCATATTGGCGCGGTGAACGGGATAAATGCATGAATCAAAGTGCCATCATCACTGCAGACGCCATCATTAGCGCGATCAGTGATCTAGCTATCCTTCTGCTCCCTACACCCCTCACCTGGTCTCTGCAGCTTGCATTGAAGAAGCGACTTCGAGTGATTGCGATGCTGTGCGCCGGGGGCGTTGCAACTGCATTCAGTCTTTACCGATTGGTTCTCATTCTTTCTGAAGCGAACTCCCAGAACCAAAGCATTGTTTTTACCAAGGTCATTCTCTCAGGGTGAGTTCTCCGGCGGTCTATTACGTTATCAACATTCCAACTGATCATGTATACGTAGCAATGCTGAAGTTGGCCTCGGGCTTATATGCTCGTGTTTACCAGCTGTCAATGCCCTTTATATTAAAAAGATGAAAGGGTCATCATACTTTGCACGACACGAGTATCAAAACCAGTATCATCGCTCCGCCCACACTGAGCCTGGTCGTGGCGATATCCTGATGACGAGGACAATCCGGATCAACACTTCATCTAAACAAAGAGGCGATGGCGAAAGTATATTGACTGCCGGCTGTGATGATGCCGCACTGATTGCAGAAGCGCAGCAAGCGCCCCGAACAGACACACCAAGCAGAAATTCGGATTCAATCGTATAAGTCCAGCTTTAGAGAAACACCCTGGTTTGCCTTTTTTTTTGGTCTAGAATTTGCAGTCATTTGACGAAATGACCATGATATTAACGAATCGGTTATACGGAACTAGTTGGATTTTTGGAAAATTTGGAAGTGAGGAAACAACTCATGTTTTCATTTGGGATGGAGTCAAACGGATGGATCATTATGAATAAAGATAAGAAAATAACGGCAGGCTAAATCATATAACGGCTTTACTTTTGCTCCATGCTGGACATGGTAACATATTTTCATTGTGGCCATACTCAAGACCCTAAATTAAATCTTCTAGTTTATTCTCGTGAAGTGTAACCCTAATATACCTAGTTTTATCTGCCCGTGTCCAACGTATTTAAGGTCACCACTTCTGGTTGTAGAACTTACATTGAGAGTGTTATTGTAAGAGGCTCATAGCAAAGGGAATTAATTTGCATTGTATCTGTTACTTTTAGCACTCCCCATGGCAGCTGTTGACCTCACGCATGGATATCTGGCTTCAGGGTAGGCCAGCATTGCGGAATGGAGCCGAGGCATCTTCACCAGGGAAGACGGCCTCAAAAACAACTGCATGTACGTTGTCCCGATGCTCGGGGATCGGCTCTTCAAAAACAGAGCAGCCAGCCAGTGAGCGACTGGTTTGAGAGAACGTGGGGAACCCACATAAAGAATGTCTTAATTAAGAACGGGCTTATCTCTGTCAAGGAGCGGGAGAGGCGTTTTCAAGGGGCCGTGACATTATGACAGATGCAGGGCTCTTGAAAGCGGTGATGCGTGTGTCGGGCTGTTTGGCTTCGCCACTGCGGAAGTGCTGCCGCTCTTATCTTGACAACAGGGTCCCTGTTTCTGGTATTTCGTGTGAATCCTAACAAGTGGATGCCGGGTTTTGTACTGATCAAGGAAGGATGTGCAGCCAGGTCAGTGGGGATTTAATTAACGGCAGCGTTCCTGCAGAAAAGAAGAGCTTCTGGGGCTGTACAACGCGCCCGGTTTTGGCGGAAAGTTGGCAAACGCCCATTAATCCCACATTAATTCCGCCTTAGCTGAGGCTGTTGCCCTTGAGGATCCTCTCCCGCTTCTTTGTATTAATATGGGAGCTTGGCACCTGATCGCTGCCTCGCGGCATTGGGCGGATTTACCTGGAGTTTTATTCATTCCGAATAGCCAGTGCCGCAGCTCTCAAGTTGATCTCTGACGCCGAGCTTTTGTCATCCACCAATGGCGTTGAAAAGGCAGCAAAAGAGCGGCGCGCTCTGTTTCCGTCTCTTCACATTCAGCACCCTCATCGCCATGATGGCCTACGGCGCCATGGAACCGAAGCAGTTACGCAAAGTCACGGCCGAATTCGTCACAATCATCATCAGCGCCGTCGCAACGGGCGTGCAATTCTACGTCACCGTGGCCAAGTTTCTCCCACTCCCCTACCACATCTTTGCTGTCATCGCAGCCGACATCATTTGCGCCCTCGGTTTCATCGCCGCAATCGCCATTTTGTCATACTGGAACATTAACGTCGTCTATATCCCGCGAGATAACGACCCTGCCGCCTGGTTCAAGTGCGCCAACGCCAGGGAGTGGGATTCCGTGCTTACAGACAGCGGCTTCGGGAAGTGGCTCAACATCGTGTGGTGTGACATCGAGGTGGATGGCCGACACCGTTTGGTGGGAAATTGGGCGGCACGGCAAAAGTTGCACGTCATGATAGGCCTGAGCACCGTGTGTTTGGTGTTTACGCTCATGACCATCGTGTACACGATCTTTCGTGCCATATATCTGGGACATATCCGCTCACCAAAGATCTATGCTAAGCTCAGGGAAACTTTTCACTGAATTTGTGTGTTTCTTGTTGTTAGAATTCAAAATATGAATATGTTGAACAATTCCCATCAATGGTGTGACCTAGTAAACGAAGCAAATTGGAAGAGGCGTACGAAACCCCATTCTATAGGTTTTGGTATGTTGTGTTGCATAATGCTTGGGATATTGTTCTGTAATCGATTCAAATGTACAAAATGATTTGCATAGTATTATCGGGAGAAAAAGAGCACGAATGCGTTGATTTCTTTTCTAATGATATAAACGACAATGCCTAGGGAGAAGGATCTTAATAATGCTTATTGCCTAACCCTGAATATTTTAGAACAGTTATTATGGAACCCAGGGCCAATAGAGTTTCTATGACTTTGATGAATGGTATATTCTAAATATTTTTGGTGGTGGAGTTCTGGTTTGATGACAAGAAAGTCAGCTTGAGTTCTCTATGAAGTCCCCAATTACATGGAGTGCTACGAGCCCTGTATATTGAATCTTATTATTCCTCTGAGTGTTGTGATGGGATTTCTAATGGGCCATCTTTAGCGTGCAATCAATAGCATCTAGGATAGAATATATAACCATCCTTGGGGTAAAACGGTTAAGGTAGTTTACGTTTAATCGTATGCTTTGTATGTGGGGACCGCGGTTCGTGTCACGGCCCATCTGTTGCAAATGTGCGCGAAATGACGATATCCGACTATTTGATTTACACCTTTGTCGTTGGCTTGGCTGATGATCATAGGTGCTCTGGATGGAAGTGGGTGAAATTGAAGCTCCATGTCGGAACATTAGATTTTTTGTGTATCATTTTCACAATAGGTTGCGATCGGAAGCGTATGTGACCCCAAGAATTTCTTGAAATTAATTGATGAATACAATCTTCGATTTTTGCTACTTAGGTGTTTCACACTTGTGCGTCTGTGGACGATCGCCTCATGTCAGAACGAACCAGGGGCGCAGGTTGTAATTTCTTTGGGGATGGAAGAACAATGATGATTAATGCTGGGCTTGCCATTGGCGCATGGCTTCTGGCTCAGACGGCGAAAAATCCATTAGTTAACGATGGATACGTGGTACTTCTAGATTACTATGTCAAGGGGAATGTGAAAGTATGAGGGAATTTTTTAGCCGCTGACAAAATCAACTTTGTGTGGTAGTACCTGCAGCAAGGAAAAGTCGGTCGCGCGTCTAGACTTTGAGGCGGTGCTGATCTCTCTGCAAGCACGGCAGAAGCATAGCAACGGCTTGGCTTCGGCTGATAAAACGGCGGGCTCCCGGGGGATAAATATTAATCGACGCCGGTTCCACGGAGCTGGCTCCTGGGGCTTTATGGATTACTTTCCCCGCCAATTAAATGGTTTGCCATGAGTGAGCTGGACAAATAATGGGAATCTAGGCCGTGTTGGACTGCGAAAAAAAAGCACGGTTTAGTGAGCGATTAACCCCGAGTTTCTTCGGTCTGGCATTGTTCGTGAAGCGTAGAGTAGGGGAAGGGAAAGGGGCTGAAAGATGCCCGACTAGCACGAGCCCACACATCCTTCAATAGTAAATTCGCAGCTGCAGCTGTTTCAAGAGGTTCTAGACCAGTGGCAGCGTTGTTGGTATCAATGATCAGAGTAGGCAAATGAACACTGACGATTAGGTACCTAGGTAGGCAAAGCATATGCAGCCAAGACCCAAGGGGGTTGGAGGAGAAGCTCCGACTAGCCATTAGAACAATGACTCAGGCGGCTCACCAAGCATATATTGGGTGTGATAAGCAAGTCCGCCAAACAACAGCCTAATGGCATAAATTCATAAAAAATACCAATCTTACTTAAATTAGCAGGAGATCTTTATATAAATTCATCTACTTTGTATAACTACTCTATTATCTTATTATACCCTTAACTTTTATATATCCTACTAGTAGGGGCTACTTTAATACCTATAAGAGGCTTAGTTACTAAGGAATTCTGTTTTTTCTACTGCCTAATATATATTATTTAGGTATAAGGAGATAGGCTGCTAATTGTATATTTTATATTACCTAAGGGCCTATCTAACTTCTATATAAATCTTATAATCTTACCTATAGTATTAAGGTAGTTCTTCTAATAATAATCTCTCCTGATCTTCCTCCTTAGGTTCTTAAGTAGCTAATTAAAAATAATAAAGATAAATATAAGTTCGTATTAGCCTAGCTTATTTAGAATTTACTTAAGGAAAGTCTGGGTAATAAAGACTTCCCTATCCAATAGCTATATAAGCTGCTTCCTGAGGATAAGGAAGTAAAGAAGCAGTATTAAAATAGTCTAGCCGAGGTAGCTAAATATAGGCTATATCTTCTTTCCTTACTAGAGGAGTAATTTTATTATATATTCTGGATAATAAAAATAACCTTTTATTTGCTTTATAAGTAGCTAAGGATAAATATATCCCTAGTAGTAATAAGGTTCTAGATAATTGAATTTAAGGTTATAGTATTCCTTTAGATCTGTATATATAATAAGCTATAAAGGAATATAGCCTATAGGTTTAAGATTAGCTAACTAACTGTATTCTCTATCTTCTATATAGTTATTAATCTAATAAGATATCTTTATAGCTGCTTTATTAAGTAGCTGGATTTAACTTACCTATTAGGTAAAGTTAAGTTAAACTCTAAGTTTATATAATTTAATAGAGTAATTAGAGCTATTAATAGAATATATATCCTGGTATTTATCCTGCTTGTAAACTAGAAGAGATTCTGATTATATAAGAATAATATATTATAAAATATACTTATAGCTATCTCTTTTAATAGGCTATTTATATATATATTAGTAGGGGCTGAGAGCTCGGTTTATAACTTAATATTACTATTATATATAAACTTAAGATCTCTTAATATCCTGTTAAATTACTTCCTTCTTATAGATACAGGCTTTAGTCTGAGCTATAGAATAATAATACCTTTTAAGGGTATATATTACCTCTAAGACTTCAGTAATTATAATAGGTAGCTGCAGAATACTAAGGAGCTTTTTAACCTTTATTATATCTAGTTATAAAGCCAGGTTAAGAGAATGTTTGGTTATTATAAGTAGAAGTAGAAGATTATCTAATATAGTATATCTAAGTATCTCTTCCCTGATCAGATAAAAATTATATATACTATAATAGGTCTAAATAATTTTATTATATTAGAT